CGCCTCCCCCACTGCCACCCCCACCACCCTGGCCTCCCTTGCCCCTGCCGCTGCGGCGCCTCCCACTAGGAGCAGACGCAACCCCGACCTCCTCAGCACGAAGGAAGTCAACAGCAGCAGCAGAAGCAACAGAGGGGACAAGGGGGGAGGGGGAACACCCCTCAAAGAAGGGAGTGCGAGGAGTGCCACGAGAAGCTCCTACAGTGACTATGCTGGTCTCAGCTGCAAGGAGGTGCTTCTCGAGCAGATCGACAGTGAGGTCTGTGGGGTCAAGGGCAAGAAGGAGGTCCTTGACTGCGCTAAGAGAGTCGAGGAGGCCGGGGACGATGAAGTGGAGAGTGATGTACATGGGGGGGGGGGGGGGGGGGGGGGGGGGGGTTCTTGTCTAGAAACTTGGTTGGAAGCGCGGCGCGGTAGCGAGTGTCACTAGTGCGAAGGTGGGTGATGAGGTCGGCGACTGTGGCAAAGGCGGACAACTCCGGGAACATGTAGGGCATTATAAGGCGGCCTGGAGCACCAGTGGCAGGGGAGGAGTAACGAGCGACTACAGCGTCATTCGGCTAACGGCAAGTGGTTGCGAACGGCTAGGCGAGCAGCAGCGTCACGGGTAAGCCAATGTGAGCGAGTCGCACTGTCAGCTATGTCAGGAGGGGCGAGAGAAGCGCCAGACGTGTGGTCAAACAACAAAACGCCGTCTCTAGAATCGCTCAGTAGGAACAGCTGAGCCACGTATCGAACTGGATCGGACGGCCCTCAGGATCGAATGTGAGAACGCTGAGAGTAGCCATAGCGGGCAGAGCAGGGTGGCACGCGAGCAGCAGGGCAGCACCCAAGCAAGGACGGCGCGACGGGCAGGGCGGCGCGCAAGCGCTAGGGAAGCGCGTAGGGTAGGGCGGCGGCCAGCAGGGCGGCACGCGGGCAAGGCAGGGCGGTGCGGCGGCCAGTAGGGCGGCGCGCAGGCAGGGCAGGGCGACGCGGCGGCCAGTAGGGCGGCGCGCGGGCAGGGTAGGGCAGCACGGCGCTAGCAGGGCAGCGCAATAGGCAGCGGAGGGCGGCGCGCGACCAGCAGGGCGGCGAAACGCGGGGCAGGGCCAGGCGCGCGCGGGCTGTACTAGGGGCTGTAGCGGCAGCAGCAAGAGCTGTAGCGGCAGCAGCAATGGCTGTAGCAGCAGCAACAAGGGCTGTAGCAGCAGCAGCAAGGGCTGTAGCAGCAGCACCAGGGCTGTAGCGGCAGCGGTAGGGCTATAGCAGCAGCAACAAGGGCTGTAGCTGCAGCAGCAGGGTTGTAGCTGCAGTAGCAGGGCTGTAGCAGCAGTAGCAAGGGCTGTAGCAGTAGTAGCAGGGCTGTAGCGGCAGCGGTAGGGCTGTAGCAGCAGCAACAAGGGCTGTAGTTGCAGCAGCACGGCTGTAGCTGTAGTAGCAGGGCAGCAGGGCAACGCACAGGGCAGGGCGATGCAGAACTAAGCAGTGTAGGCAGCAGCACGAGTGCAGCAGGGCAACACGTAGGCGCGGCTCGGCAGGCAGCAGCGCGCGGCTCAGCGGGCAGCAGCGCACGGCAGCGGCGGCGCGTTACAGAAGCGTCCGCGGCGCGTGGGGCAGCGAAGGCGCGCGACGCGCGGCAGCGGTGGCGCGCGACGTGCAGGGCAGGGGGGGCGTGCGATGCGCAGGGCAGGGGGAGCGCGCGACGGGCAGCTCTGACGCGCGCTTAAGGGCGCGCGGCGAGCAGAAAAAACGGCGCGCTAGAGGGGCGCGCCACAGGCAGCGGAACGGGCAGCGGTAAGAGCGGGCCTGGAAAAAACAAAAACAAAAACAAAAACAAAAACAAAAAAAAAGGGTCCCTAAACAGGCGGTCCTAAGGACCTAACGTGCTCGATACAATGTTAAGAAGATAGACTATGGTGGGCATTGGGTCAACAAGGGTGGTACAAGAGAGTGTCGAGAAAATATGTGTACCCCCTAAGGCTAGACCATTACAGCCTAGAAGAACGTTAAACATATAATTTGACATGAGGTTCCTCCTCCTGGGGCAAACATAGTCGATGGCATGTGGTTCCAGTTATGAGGCCGAGATCTACGCTGGGGCTATGGCTGCACAGGAGCTACGTCGGGTGACCTACCTGCTGACCGACTTGGGAAGGTGGCCTTGTTCTCCTCCAGTTCTGTGCGTCGACAACAAGGACATGCTTACCTTGTGTCACAAGCAGAGACTGGAGCACAAAACGAAGCACATTGCTCTTCGCTGCTTTCTTGCTCGAGAGCTGCAGCAGCGTGGTCAGCTTCGCATTTCTTACGTGGCCTCTCGGGCCAACACTGCTGATGTCTTCACCAAGGCCCTCGGGTCTGGTGATCATCAGGGTTTTCGCACTGCTCTTGGGCTTCTGCCCGTTCCGCCTCACCTGCTTATCTCCTGATCTTGCACTTGTTGTACACTGATATCTATATTTATACCTGCATGTTTACTCTTACAAGGTTGTGATCAGTGTACTGCCTTGCTAATATAACTCTGCATGTGAACTAGCCTTGTGGCCGCTTGCTTGTGCTCAGAATTAGTGGTGATCTTGAGATCCACCCTGGGCGTTGCATTGCTTTGTTCTCTTGCCTGACCGGTCTTGTGACCGTTTGTTGTTTTTTTTTGCTATCCCTCACTTTGCCTAGGGGGTTGTGTCAATACATATTTGTATGTTCTTAGTTCTGCTAGGCTACAGTAAGGTGCTCAGTATAGAGTACAACCCCAGTTAGGGTGTCATACTTGTATCTCTCTGTTGCTAGACATTTCGACCCGCGTGCGATTTCTTGGATGTGACGGGGCCTCGTCCAACTCGTCCGCGACTTTAGCACGTTCAACGCTAACCAATGTAAAATATAGTAAAAGTCGCACTAGGGCGATACGCGTTTGTGACACAATATGTTTTATGATGTTTTTAGGTGTCACGAAGGGTTTGAGACACTCGTGTCCATGCAAGAATATACCCTTAGTTTGTGACGCCTAATGTTTCAAATGTTGTGGTAATATTTGTAATGCTTGAAATTTTGAGGTAGCCTCGGACGGTGAGATCCTGTCATTCCAAAATTTGGGGTTATATGAGATAGAAATATTTACATGTTGCATTCCCAGATTCAATGTACTTGTTTGTTCCAATCGCAAAATACATCATAGATATTTTTTGCAAATTAGTAGGCCTCCATCACACCTCAACTTGACCACTACACCCAAATTGGCTTTGTATCGGGGCGCTCAACATTTGTGATCAGGTTTGAATGTCTTCTTGAGCCAGCTGTTTAGCCCCGTCCCTAGCCCGGAGCCCCTGCTGGTACCCGAAGTAGCGAGCCCCTTTTTGCCGTACCTCTAGACGAGGTTCGATTGGTCTGGTTTCTCGTCTGAAGGTTGGGATTGCTCATTTTCCGTCCCAATTTGACGGACGGACGGAATGGGCCCGCACAAATTATCGAAGGGGGTACCCGTGATGGCGGGCGGGAGGAACGGCCGCAGGTAGTGCCTGCTTGAGCCAGGCAAATTGGTGATGTTTGGAACTTGGCTCCCCAAGTGTACTGCGACACATCACCAGAGTAACAAATCTGCACCGTAATGAAAACCTCTAACACACCAAAACCAGCACCGCGTGCCTCCAAAACCACTCTGCCCTCAAACTGAACCACTCCATATCTACGGTTTCCACTTCCGTTCCCGAGTATATTGCAGGTAGACAGATTCAAACCACCGCCCCCGAATTTGCCTCACTAGAGGATGGGGACAATGGAGCTTGGAGGAGCTTGGTTCTCATCTGCTTGTATGAAAGCAGTAATGTGTGTCTTGAACTCGCAGTCTGGCACTTTGGCTCATGATCGTTTGAGCTAAGGAGGCAGTCATAAGTAGTTCCTGATCCGGCATCTCCCAGCGTCATGTCGGGTACGAAGTCGCTATCACATGTCATTCGGAAGGATTTTGTAACTTGAAATGTCTTTCACTATTCTTCAGGCTTGCCCTTCTCTTAGCAGCTCTTTCATCCGTTCAATCCCAGGGAATTACTGTATACTTAGAGTTTATAATCTCCCAAAATAAAGCCGTTTTCTATTCATGTACACGCGCTTCTGCAGATCCGAGGTATCCTCACGGCTATCCGCCTCCGCAGGGTTATCCAGGGTATCCTCCTCAGGGCTACCCTCCACCGCAAGGCGGTTATCCTCCGCAGCAGGGTTACCCGCCTCCACCCGCCGGCTACCCTCCTCAAGGGTATCCTCAACAGGGTTACCCACCCGCCGGTTACCCCCATCAGAAAGTTCGGGCGCCTGGATTGGGGTGTTTGAGTTGAGTTTGGGTTTTTCGGGTTGGGTTCTGGCGAGTTTCCGAACACACCGTGTACGTGTGATGGGTTAGGCCGATAGGCACCCTCTATCGACCACTCCCTTGATGGTTTCGTATGCGTGGAAACATTCGGAACAGTGCGGACTGGTAATGCCCTATCACCGAAGGGTACAGGTGCTTTACGGCGCACAGGAGGTACAATGTGCGGCTGTGTGAGTTCGATTTACAGATGTTCCTGCGGATGGTCATTCATCATTCGGTTAGTTGATGACGTGGCCCGAACATGAACGGCCTGACGTCGCAAAGTGCGCGATGTAACGATTTATTTTGTTGGAGTGTTACTCTGACATGCGAATGAGTCTCGAGTGACTTTATTGAAGTTACAATTCCACTGTTACAATCTTTGTTACAGGGCGCCACGCGTTATTAGACTGATCTTGGTGCATCGAATCGACAAGATAATACTGTACCGTAGTGTACTGTTAATCGAAAATGAATATATATAAAAAGCTTGTATTCTACAAATGTGCAATATAATTTAATAATATTAGCCGGAAACTCGTTTCTGCACGTGTACATAGACCACATAATTCATCATTAGAGTCATCAATTACATCGACAATTAGAGGCCCCTACACTAACCTACTAAACCGTGCTAGTATTGCACCAGCTACACCTTTCTTCCAAAACTAGGACTCTAAGGGGGGGTTCCATTAGGGAAAATCACGGACTCAAAGCCCTCCACCAGGATCTTGATGACAGGGCTCATGTTGAAGCCAGCAGGAGGCCTGGAGTCCCAGATAGCCACATCCCCTGCGTCATAGGTGGCCTTGATCCAGGCCGCAACCTGGTCTATCTTCAGAGCAACATTCCGGCGGTTCACTGCCTCAGCAGTGTCCAGTGCCGGGGTAAGGCGGCCCCTGGCATTCACCAGGGGCCACTCCACCTGCAGTTGCAACAGGGTTTAGGGTTTAGTTAGTTTCCTTAAATAGAAAACATTAGGAGGAATAAAGAAATCTCCTGCACTCACCACGTTCAACACATAGCCCACAGTGGGAATCTTCACAGCCATAGTTGTTGCACGCTTGCTTCCAAGCCCACGAAGAAGGGCAAGCTGGAAAGGACGGTTGGCGTACGGTCGGTTTGTTATCGGGTCAAAATGCCAGTTTGCGCCAAGGCCGTAAACGGCTGCGACACAAGGCACGGAAAACGGGCGTTAGGAGTCATTCCGTAAAAAATAATTAAATCGAATAAATTAGTACATAATAACTTACGATGTTCATAGAAATGGCACCACTCCAGAGGGGTGCGCGAGGTGGACGGCGCGACATTCTCCTCAGCGAGAATCTTCCACTTCGACTCTGGAACGCACCCACCGGGGCCCCTCCCGTAGGTCTTGGCGTCGGAGTTGACATTGGAGCGCTTCTCTGAGACCTTTCGCATGGCCAGCGCCTCTTTGTTGGGGTCGTTGCTAATGACGTAGTAAAATACGTCAGACTGCACGCTCGCGTTCTCGTACTTCATACACACGACCTCCCGGAACTCCGCCCACTCAGGGTAGAACTGCATCGAACGTGCAGGCGCATCCAACAACAGGTACGTGAACGCCTCGGTTGCCTTTCTCTGGAAGGTAAAACACGGAAGGAGTAAAACACGGACGTTAATAAGTAAAAAATGCAAAAACCTAGACTTAATTTCGGAAGCAACTTCCGAGGGTAGTAAAAATACACCCGCATGGAAAACGAGCACAAGGCACCGAATCTTACCCCGAAATGCTGATCATGGCTGACAAGTGGTAGGATGATGAGAACGCCATTGGCGTCGCGGGGGATGCGATCCATGTTGAAAGTGGGAGGGACCTGACGCGGTGCAGCGAGTACTCCCGTACCCTGAGCAGCGGACAGATCCTAAATGAGCTGCTCGTTCAGCCTGATGAACTCAGCGCAGCGCTGGTTTAGCGCTGATACCTCGGCGTCACGCTCCGAGAGGAGGTTCGACAACTCCCTCTCGCGCTCCTGTGTTCGCCGAAGGGTTGTTCGAAGGTCATCAATCTGACCTTGCAGCCGGAAGGCCTCAACAGCTGCTGCGTGATCTGCCGGAACAACTGGCACAGAGAAATGCATGCACAAGCACAACAGCGGTGATTAACATTACTATGCATCAATAAACAACTGTGGAAACGCATCCGGCATTGGAAAAGTATGACGACATAACGCGGACTTACTGGATCGGGCGTTTACTGGAACGGAAAACCCCAAAGGTGATTCGACAACTCTGCCAGCGGCAGTGCCGGCAGTTGGGTTATCAGCGGCTGCGGCAGTGACGCCTGAAGCGTCAGCAACAGTGGAGGTTTGATTTGCAGCACCAGCAGAGGCGAGAGCAGTGTTGGGAGACGGAGTGGAGACCGATGCTGCGTTGACCACTGTCACCGCGGGTGTGATTTCGGTGGTCGCGCCAACAGGAATAGAAACAGCAGCAGATGCATCGGTAGTGGTTCCGGTACTTGCGGCGAGAGGCGTAGGACTGTCAGATGGAGCGGCCAACTCGGTTACGGCGGCAACCGTGAAGGCCGCCGTAGTGGCCGGCGTAGTTTCCGCTGCCGTGTCAGCAGGTGTTGACGATGGTCCCGCACCGTCGCTGCTAGGGTTTGCTAGGATAGTGCTTAGGCGACCCTTTTTCTTCTTCTTCTTCTTGCCGAGCTTAACCCCGCTCTGCTTGAGCTGCTGCATGTACCCCAACATCTCGTCCAGGTTCAGGTCATCCTCGCTGTCACCATCCTCCCCAGCCTCATCTGGGAGGTCCCGCTGGAGGGTGACCCCTTCGTCGCTGTCGTCCGTCATGTTTGCGACCGCAAAGATGCGCTTGAAAAAAATGATGCCACTCATATTGCACTGTATGGATGGAATTTGGTCGCTCTAGGCCGAGTTCCAGTCGTTTATGGCGGGAGATTTACAGTCTGGCGTCGCCTGAGCGCCAGCTCTGCGTGCGCAGTGTGCGACTGCTGAGCGCGGAAACCCAACTTGGTGTCTGACGTCGCGGGCACGCCAGCTGTGCGTTGTGTATGGCCACAATTGTTTCGTGCGACGATCCTGGTTGGTCGATGCGACTGACGTGCTGCCTCGCTCCGGATATTATGGTCAAGCGGCGGGCAAAGAAAGTTCCGCAAACAGATCTTGAACTAAGTGTATTGACATCTTCACGCCCGCGAAGTGGTGACGGGCTGCCAGCGGCGAGTTTGGAAGACGGGCATGGTGGAAGGGTTAGTAGTATGCACGTGCGAGGCGTGGGATTGTGCTGCGCGAAGCGGTTGGCGCACTTACACGCGGCGCAGCCTGGTACTGTACCGTATTGACGGATGGTCATCCTTCGTGGGTGGTCTGCAATTTTTGCTGACATGGAAATTTTCGAAGGAGGTATTGTAGGACAGCACCTATAAACGGAAACTACTGCTTAGAACAACTGAGAGACATTTATCTTTGAGGGTGGTTCAATAGTGTTATATATAATAATGTTATATATATGTTAAAAGATAAACCTATTGACCAACCACAGTTGGTCTCTAGAATCAGGCTGCACCAAGTCTACTGATCGCAAAATACTATTTACGCTTATGACCTGGTATCGCTGGTGTTGTAAATCCCAACGCAGTTGCGCGCATCCTGTTGCCGGATCTTTGTCCGGGAGCAAACGATAGTATTTAATGTATGCGTATGGCTTCAGTTCCGTGCCATCTCTCAGCTGGAATAAAATCAGGGTCTTGGCATACCACTCTTCATGGTTGCCGTCCACCAAAGGTCCCCGCACCGCAATGTCCGAGTACCAAGGTCGCCCATAAAAGCTCGCCACTGCGCGAACCCGATGAGGCAACCGTCCGAAATCTGCATCCAGTGCCGCGGGCATAGCGAGCTCGTTGTGTACCTGAAGGTCACAACATGAGAACGAAAGCACAGTAAAAAGAAATATAAATGTATAAAATTATGTCACATTTAAGTTGTACAATATTTTGTGAGACTTTTTTCGCACTGTACTCGCGTCAAACCCGAAACTGCTTCTCGGAACCACAAGGCGGTATGGGTTGGTAAACAAATAGACTAGTATCGAGCAAGAAATAAGCGTGAAAAAACACGACAAACACAGCTGCTGGCAGTGTCGAGCGCAACTCACCTGGATGACGTGGACGTTGCTCCCGTTGCATCCAGGTGCCGCATCCAGGGCACGTCGCAGGTTCTGCAGGTCGCCTGCGAGTTGCCTGTTGAAAGCGGCGTCGCGCGCAGCTTCTGGCGCCACTGGTTCCACGTAAGGTGGACTCGTTCGCCTCGGCAAGACCGCCAGCTTCCAGAAGGATCGCGAGAGAATCCGCGATCCTGTAGAGATCGCCTGGAAATTGAAAATGTGAACAGATGAAAATGAAATTGTAGAAACATAAAAAACATAAACAAGCATGAAGGGAATGGAAGCCTTGACAATTATACAAAATTGACTAAGTAGCCTTGCTCACCTGTAGCATCGCTGTGTCATATCGCTTCCGCTTGCCGAGCTGTGGTGCAAGTGCTTGCAACCGCAGCCTGTTCACCTCGGCGTTCATCACTTGGGCAGCGGCGTTGCGCTTGTTCGAAGCTCGGTACGGGTTCTTCACGTACTTGATGTGAAGATGCTCGAATAGTTGTGCGCACCAATGCTCTGGAAGTCCTGCGCGGCGGATAGCGTCGATGTAGTGGCTCACCAGATGCACCTTGATGATGTTCCAGCTTGATTTCTGGGTGAACGCTTCAAGACCACGGAGCATCCTGTCGAAAGGGATAAATGCTCTTAATTAGTTAGAGGTGCACACCCATTTCCATAAAGGCTAATTGAATGGCACATGTAAACGTACCTGCTCGCCATGAGCTTGACTTGGCGTAAACTCTCCTTGGTATGCTCGGTGACTCGTGCACAGTATGTGTACCACTCGATGTACGCGATGATGCCTTTGATCTGATCATCAGTTGCATATCCCTTAACAAGGAATGGGAGGATTTGCATGACACTACGATGTTCGTATGCCTGGTAAGATGCACCATTGCCAAAGTAAGACCCCGAGGGGAGTCTAAGATGCGGGTTGCGGTTGATACTTTTGTAGAATTTCAACCGCGTATCCAACGCTTCCCTCTGCGTTTCCGTGCATTGAGCGCGAATTGCATCAATGATGTACTCTAGGATGCCCAAATCCGCTTGGTGCATAATATCCGGCATTAGGCATAGATACGGGTTGAGAAGTGCATGAGACTCGAAACGCCATCCCCATAGGAAACATTTCACGGGGTGTGTCGATAGCTCCATGTTCTCCCCCGTGGGTAAGCAACGACGTTTTATCAAAGAAACAATCGTTCTTTGCATGGTCGGCAAGCGTGCTTTTGGTTGGTCAAGCAAATCCTTCAAGTTTTCCTTGTACACGGTGCAAATGGAGCAAGGGTGGCTTGTGTTCCACCCTTGCTTGGTGCACGACACCTTGCATGTCTCAGGGTAATCGGCAACATATGCATAGAGCGCGGGCCACGCATTGTATGACACTCCGGCCACGTCCTCAATAGGAATACCATGATGTGACGCCCTGATCAAAGGCTCAAGAACGGTGTGCATGATATTTTGGAACAAAAAAAGCTTATCATCGGAGTTATACTCCGATGGGTACTCAAGCAATAGAGCTAGCAAAACATGACCGAATGGTTTCCATCGATCATCTTTATCAATGTTGGCCAAGGTAAGATATACCGGATGGCCTTTGGCTTTCCCCCGATGATCCAAATGCGTCTCATCACTAGCAAGGATGAGAGCACACACCACCCCATTAGGGTCCTCTTTCCGTATCTCTTTATGGAGAGCATCCCACCAATCTCCCGTCTCGGGAGTGGAATACACATGTTTCACATTTGAGGCACGAGGGGTGGGGTGCAACACCAGTTTTTGGGCCACCTTTGGGTGTGTCAAAAGATCTTTGATGCCTTGGATGGCATCACAGTAGAAATATTCAACATAAGGCTTACCCGCGAGCCGCACTTTAGCCTTTTCCAATTCCGATGCGCATCGGGTGCGTGGTCGTCCGCATATTTCTCAACGTCTCTCATGTTTTTGAGCTCGCGCAATTGCTCGAGACACGCCTCGTGGTGGCTAAAAATCTGTAGCAACTCATCAACTTTCTTCTTGCTCACTCCACAAGTGAGCAACCCATGCACAAATGCATTCAAAAAACTAAACGGTGGACTCTCTTCGCCATCATTTGTGCTGCCCTCGGCCTCACCATTCGTAGGGGCAGAGGTGGCGTCATCGGGCAACACATCCGGCGTTGATTCGACACTATTTGAGGGAGTGGGGGCTGGATGGAATGAGTCGGGCACCATGTTGTCATGCGTGGATCCCTCATTGCCTCGTAGAGGCTCCGGATCTACTTCGGCGCTAGGAGGAGTGGGCATGGAGAGAGTGGGAGAGGGAATGGAGAGGGTGGGGGATGGCATGGAGGTGGCATTGTGCCGGTTCATGAGGAATGGGTTGCCACTATTTGCCGCAGCCGCATTACGCAGATTCCCGGGGCATCGTCCGCCATGCCGATGGTTCGTCACGTTGCCTCTTGTTGTGAAGCCCGTGGCGGGAAAATCGGGGCAGCTGTACACCATTGTCCTGTATTGTTTAGAAAAAAGGAAGAGGGTGGGGCGGATAGGGAGAGGGTGGGGCGGATAGGGAGAGGGTGGGGCGGATAGGGAGAGGGTGGGGCGGATAGGGAGAGGGTGGGGCGGATAGGGAGAGGGTGGGGCGGATAGGGAGAGGGTGGGGCGGGGAGAGTGTGGGGCATGAAAACATGAGCAGGAGCAGCGAGTTTCCCTGGGAGGGGCGGATGGAGATAGGGAATGGAGGCCAAAGGAGGAAACGGAGGGCACTGAGAGGAGATGGTGGGGTGAGAGAATGGCGGGCAAACGGAAGGAAAGGAGGGCACAGAGAGGGGGAATGACAGGGCAGAGCGAAGGAACGTCGGGCAGAGAGCGGGAATGGCGGGGTGAGGGAATGGCGGGCAAAGTGAAGGAAGGGAGGGCACATCGAGGGGATGACAGAGAGGGGATTTGGCAGGGCAGAGCGAAGGAAGGGAGGGCAGAGAGAGGGGATGGCGGGGTGAGGGAATGGAGGGCAAAGGGAAGGAACGGCGCGCGCCGTGAATCCGCTCGGCGCAAGGCCTGGCATGCGCCGAGCATCGTATTCGTGCGATGTGCGCCGTGAATCCGCTCGGCGCAAGGCCTGGCATGCGCCGAGCATCAATTTCACGGCGCGCCTCGCACGTGCGCCGTGAATCCGCTCGGCGCAAGGCCTGGCATGCGCCGAGAAGCAGATTCGTGCGATGTGCGCCGTGAATCCGCTCGGCGCAAGGCCTGGCATGCGCCGAGCATCAATTTCACGGCGCGCCTCACACGTGGGCCGTGAATCCGCTCGGCGCAAGGCCTGGCATGCGCCGAGCATCGGATTCGTGCGATGTGCGCCGTGAATCCGCTCGGCGCAAGGCCTGGCATGCGACGAGCATCAATTTCACGGCGCGAGTGCGATGTGCGCCGTGAATCCGCTCGGCGCAAGGCCAGAGAAAGATTGAAAGGCGGAGATAGAGAATGAGGGGCCTCGAGGAGGAATGAAGGGAAGGGACGACGCGATGTGCTGCAATCAGAGAGAATGACGGAGGGCGTGTGATAAGGTGGGGCGCGGACAGAGAATTTGGGGCAGGGAGAGAGCCTGAAGGCGCGATAGAGAGAATGAAGTGTTAACGGGCTTGCGCCAAGCTGCCCATGCACGGCACGCCGCGCATGCGCGCCGTGCATCAGCTCGGCGTGTACCGGGTTGCGCCAAGCGTCTCATGCACGGCATGCTCCGCAATAGCGACGCGCATGCGCACGGCGTGTTCACGGGGATGCGCGAAGCAAGGAATGGTCTTGCGCCGAGCATCACTTGCACGGCGCGCAGCGCATCACGCACGCCGTGCATCCGCTCAACTTGAACATGATGAGGTGATGCGCCGAGCATCACTTGCACGGCGCGCACCGCATCACGCACGCCGTGCATCCGCTCGGCGCAATCATGATGAGGTGATGCGCCGAGCATCACTTGCACGGCGCGCATCGCATCACGCACGGCATGTTCACGGGCTTGCGCAGAGATTCTCATGCCACGGGCTCTCCGCATTCGCGCCGAGCCTCAGCTATTGCTATGTTTTAGGTGCAAAACGGATCGCGTCGCCCACGCGCCGAGAATGTGGGTTCATCCTTTACATTGCAGTTTTTTCCACTAACACGGATGGTGAAAGAAGAGAATGCGTGAGGAAGGACTAACCTGGTAGGAGATTGATCGTAAGAGCCGAAAACGGGCGCAACGAGCTCCGCAATGACCTCCTAAAGCTCCGCCAGTGACCACAGCTGGGGCGGTGAAGGTGTCTGAATTTCACGGGGCGAGAGTTAATGTTCAACTTCGAGTGGAAAAACGCAGCCTGAACACACTACTCCAGAACGATGTACCCCACCAAATGCCAGTAACTTAACGGGATTTTGCTCTTAGCACAGGTCCAGCAATGTAGATATTCTAGAGGATCCCTGCCAAACCGTACTGGATGTCAAGTATACCGCGTTAAAACATTGTTTACCATTTTCAACCGCACTCGCACAATCTCGCAACATGCCCCAGCGCCGAAGCGCATCCGATTTCGAGGTGCATTTCGTTTGTGAGAGGTGCTGAATATGTTTGAAACGGTTGAAGAATCCAGCGCACCGCATCAGCACAAAATGAATGTGCACATGTTGACGCTGGGTAAGGGAATGCCGATGTGAATTTGAGCCCAAATTCGTGTGAAAATAGTAGGAAGAAGAGGAGGGTTGCACTAGCAAGAATGAGGATACAAATAGCAAACCCTAGAAGGGTTGTACTCGCTATAGAGCACCCCACTACAGGCTAGAGCATAATATTCTGACACACCCCCATAGCCAAAGTGGGGTGTAATCAGCAGAGCAAGCACAGCAGTACAAGCTCAGGGTGGATCACAATGTCACCACACATTCTGAGCACAAGTTCAAGAAGCAATAGTTTAAAGTTCACAATTATGAGCAAAGCTAGAGGCTATCGCAGAGGGCAAGTGAGGAGGAGGAGAGACTGTGGGGGAGAGAAGATGGGAGGCGACTGCTGACGCTGCAGACACACAGACGAGCTGCTGGCTCAGTGGCTACCGGAACAACGCTCCGGACTACTGGGGTAACTGGCCCCGCGGCTAAAAGTAGCGGCAGACGAGCAACGGACCCACGGGCGACTGGCGACTACCGGAGATTGTAGCCTCCGGACTGCTGCTGCTGCTGACGACAAGACTGCTGCCTCCACTCGACCTCCCCCAAACAGTACCACCCCTCCTGACACACACCCGCTGCTACACCGCTAGCTCCACTCCCCCTTCACCCCCCCTTAGCACCACTCCAACGGCTCCAACAAGTCCACCCCCCCTCAGCGGCAGCTGCAGCACAGGGAGACGGAGGAGGAGGAGGAGCAGGGAACGGCACACAGTAGTTTCACCCCCATACCCCTCACCCCCAAACCCTAATTCAGGAGAACGGGCTGTAGGAGGGGTGGGGCGCCAGCAGAAGCACGGGGGACAGCGGGGAGGGCAGGGGCAGCGAGGAAAGGGCCGCCCACGGGCCTGGCACAGCCTCCCGAACCGCGCGCAGGCGGCCCGAGCCGCGCGCGGGCCTGGCGCAGCCCGTACGGGCCGCGCGCGGGCCTGGCGCAGCCCGTACGGGCCGCGCGCGGGTCTGGCGCAGCCCGTACGGGCCGCGCGCGGGTCTGGCGCAGCCCGTACGGGCCGCGCGCAGGCCTGGCGCAGCCCGTACGGGCCGCGCGCCGGCTGTACGGGCCGCGCGCAGGCCACGACGGGCGACGGGGGGCGACGCGCGGGTCCCCGTCGCCCGTCGCAGCGCCTCCCGAGGGCGACGCGGCGAGTGACGGGGTAGAAGCCCGCCGCGCGCCTCGGGGCGCACAGCGGGCAGAGAACCGCCGCGCGCCACGGGGCGCACGGCGGGCAGAAAACCGCCGCGCGCCTCGGGGCGCACGGCGGGAAGAAAAACTGCCGCACGCCACGGGGCGTGCGGCACAGAAGGTAGTAGTGGAAGTTGCAGCGGAAGCAACGAGGTGGTGAGCCCACCCACAGGATCGATCCAAGGGGATCGACCTGCTCTGATAGCATGTGAAAATAGTAGGAAGAAGAGGAGGGTTGCACTAGCAAGAATGAGGATACAAATAGCAAACCCTAGAAGGGTTGTACTCGCTATAGAGCACCCCACTACAGGCTAGAGCATAATATTCTGACAATTCGAACACGACTCGAGAAGATTAGCACACGACTCGAAACAAATTCGAGCCGCGGCATCCCCAAACGGCGCGTTGACCGATGGGCTGTGGTTTGTCTCGTGGGAACAAAAGCGAGATTGAGTTACTCCACAGATACAGTTCAAACAATATTGCGTCAATATTAAAAAAACAATTTCAAAGGCTTGCAAGTACAGAACCCATTACATCACATTATGGAAAGTGAAAGAAATGGAGGTCGAAGCAAATAAAAAAAACTATCCCTAAACTCACCATCAAAACAAAATTAAATACGACCACTATATGTCCACAAAAAAAAAACCATAGTTAGGGCAACCAGAAACAAGAACAACCTTTCTGAATATATCTTACTATTTACTAATCAACAAAAAAAACATATAACCATTACATCCTTGATCAAACACACACCAAAACAAAAATCCCCTAACTCCTCAAATGAGTGTAAGACATTTGTCAGTTATCCATCCACACTGTGTACACACAATACAAATCGCATCTACATAATGTCACGGGACTTGCTTCGACATAGGCTAGGTGAAGCCAAACGGAAGAGGTGACGTGTCAACCCAAGTCACCCGAAACAGAGCTTCCAGCTGAAATAAGTGTCCACGTACACAAAATGCCCGTTTGCAGCCACGTCGCAGAATCGAACGATCCACCCACTCCCATGCCACCCAACTCCGTGCCCTTACACACGAGTTTCGACCATTCCCCCCCTCAAACACCCCAACCCAGCCGCACAGGTAAAAACCCACTGTACAGAATCATTTCCAGAGCACCCCCTGGTGCTCCTCGAAACTCGATTTGCTGGAGGCCTGTTCGGGGATGGCTCACAAACTTTCTGATGCCCTCAGGGATACCCCCCACAGGGTTACCCGCCTCCTGCCGGCTATCCGCCTCAAGGATACCCGCCTGCCGGTTATCCGTCTGGTTCTGCTTACCCCGCACCCCACGGCTACCCAAGTGAGTCTGTAAATTCTAACCGTGAATGAGTCTGAACGCACCCCACGCCATTCTAACCATAATGTAGTGGGCTGAGCGGGCTTTCCGCTGCCAACCCGAGCGTTTTATTCGCAACTTACAAAATATTGAGTCATTTGGACTGACTCTTATATTTTATTTTTACTGCATACGGTGTACTTGTTACTGCGATTCAGTGATAGTTGTTTGGCGATGGAATGCAGCCAACGGATTAGTGGGAGGTACGTACATTTGGCATTTTATTGTGTATGGTGTGAGTCCCAGCCCGTCTCAGGAGAAACATGAATTGTTTCAAGATAAGCCATCACGAGCAGCAACTTTAGCTACAGTCCGCATTTGATTATGTTACGGACCCCACTTATTGGTGGCCGGTCGAGGCAACCAGCAAGATTCACCGTACATCACCAATATGGGTCTAAAACGTAACTCTTAAAACCGAAGTGTTTTCAAACTCCAAATTGGCCGGTTGAGGCAACCAGCACAGGCTAACGAGGTACGTAACACGCTCTAAGGTACCAGATTTGACGTATCGATTCAGGTCGTGTTTACAATGAGCCCGAAATTGGCATTAGCAGCAGCCGTTGCTTGAACGTCGCCTTTGGTGGACGTTGCAGCCTTGCATATTCCTGAATCGTATTTCATTTTGCATCTTTGTTTCCTTGTGAAATGTACAGGAAGTATGTTGTTCACTCGCGTTTGCATCATAATATCCTTTCTCTACTATCTGTGGTCTTGTCTGGTGTGGCTATGCAGCTGGTCATGTGGCTCACGTGTATGTAGCCCATCACAAAAAGCACAAGAAGGGGAAGTACAAGGGCTTCATTGGCAAGCGCAAGGGCTTTCTTGGCAAGCGCAAAGGCTTTATTGGCAAGCGCAAAGGTTTCATTGGCAAGAGGAAAGGCCTCTTTGGCAGACGTAAGGGTTTCTTTTGAGAATGCGGGTGTAGAATTTGTGACTCTCAGGCTATTGCATAATAGTGAGTCTATTTGGGAAGTGTTAAACGTTGGGTTGGTGTGTTCATTTCCATATTATGAAAAGGGATACCTGGTAGTGGTGGTGTGCTACCCAAGACCTGTAATACCGTAGACGCACTGCACTACTCAGTACCTGCATTCAACTCCACTCAAAACTGATTCTCACAAAGGGAGCAAAGCAAAGAGAATTGATAGCTGGAAGAATGTGTGTGCGTACTATCTTCATCTGGAAGAATGTAAGACATCCTATTTTATGCTGTATCTTATAAATCTTATTAAAGGGAAAGTTTCAGATGAACACGTTTCTCTCATACAGCGAGACAGGAAAGTGTACTCAGCCACACATCACCATACCAAAACTTAACGCAACATACCGAAGCACACCAAATCCAACACTGCTAGCCTCCAAAACCACTCTGCTTACTCACTGAACCACTTCATATAGATGTTTTCCCTTCCTCCTCGTTCTCCCAGTTCTATGCGGCCAGACAGACAGATTCAATTTGCCTCCCTGACGGGAGGTGATGGAGCTACTCTGTGTGTCGTAAACTCTTTAGTCTGGCAATTCGGCTCATGTTCTGAGCTAAAGCGGCAGTCATAACTGGTTTCTGATCCGGCATCTCCCAGCGTCATGTCGGGTAAGAAGCCGTTATCAGATGTCTTTCGGATGGATATTTTAAAACGACTTTGGCTTCCATCAATTTTCCGGCACGCCTTTCGTTTAGCATTTCTTTTTGTTGAATTCTAGTGTTTATAATAGTTTTGCTTAGAGCTTTTTGAAACTACTACCGTCGATGTGTGTACGCGCGTTCCGTTTCCGCAGATCCGAGGTATCCTCACGGCTATCCGCCTCCGCAGGGTTACCCAGGAGGATACCCTCCTCAGGGTTACCCTCCACCGCAAGGCGGTTATCCTCCGCAGCAGGGTTACCCCCCTCCACCTGCCGGTTACCCCCCTCAAGGATATCCTCAACAGGGTTACCCGCCACCCGCCGGCTACCCCCCTCAGGGATACCCGCCACAGGGTTACCCCCCTCAAGGATACCCGCCTGCCGGTTATCCGCCTGCTTCTGCGTACCCCGCACCCCACGGCTACCCAGGTGAGCCTGAAAGTTTAAACCGTGGATTGCGCAGTGAATTGCGCGGAATTGCGACTGAATCTTGTTGCTGTTAGGGTTGGAATGTAGTTGTAGACGTGGATTCACCACCGCGAGTGTTTAACGACCTACAGCTACCAGGTAAGCTTGACAGTCGAGTGGACTCCCTGATTTTCCAGATGAGAATGGCGCTCGTTAGGGTTGGAATTTAACAGTACATGTTGACTTCAGTGACACTGCCACCGAATCAAGGAATCGTCGCGAAGTAGTGATCTTGTCGAAAGTTCCTAGCGCATCTCGAGAGAAGTCGGAAAGGCAGCCAAGATAAGCCATCGCGAGCTACATCTCCGCTTCTAGTTCGCCTTCCTAACAGCCACGGGGAATTTCTGGCACTTGGTTATTTGAGTGTCAGCCTTTCATGGCCGCTGGTTGTAGAAAGGGAATGCCCTTGTTTCCCAAGAACGTCTTATTTTTCTCTTCCGTGTTGCCTTGGGGAGATATGTGTCGGTCCCTTGTGTGCGTCTTCAGAGTCTTTTAACTCCGCTGAGTGTCTTTTTGTGTGTTGATATGCAGGTGGTCATGTGGCTCACGTACATATGGGCCACCACCACAAGCACAAGTACAAGGGGAGGAAGCACAAGGGCTACTATGGCAAGCACAAAGGTCATTTTCATGGCAAACGCAAGGGGTTCTTTGGTAAGAGGAAAGGGTTCTTCAAGTAAGCTGCCTATTGAGAATGGTACATGTTCTGCTTGGAAAGTTGTACATCTGTGAAGAGCTTTGTTGACTGAGGTACATTTTGCTTATTGATAGTGTGCTTACAATTTTATCTAGTTAAGAGTCTTGTTCTTAATGAGACTAGCAGTTTATTAGTTTTACATGTACTTCGATTCCTGAAGTTGATTGTGGTTGTTGGTCTGATCATATAACGTGGTGTGTTTACAAATGAGTTTCAGTCAATGAGGGTCACCAGAATTGCTTGTTCGTGCGCTTTCGTCCGTTGGGGTTGAAGCCTTGTTACACCTACTGCATTCACGAAAAGGGGTAGCCTTCTGTGTCTGTCCCTAAAAGGAGCTTTCGTCAAGTTACCAAATTCAGCCATCAAAGTCACGAGCGCGTCTCGGATACAAACACAACAATGGCGGGATCATACTCCCGCGTCGCGCGAGCCCCAATTTCCAAATTCGCCGGTGCGCGAAAGTGTGCCGCTTCCTCATGAGAAATCGGGAGATTTTCGGTCAAGGACTCAAACCGCGGTTCAAGTCGGTCAAGTTGGGTCTGTATTGATTGAACTGGGTTGGCTTGTCCAAACGTGTTTGTGGTGGCTTCCAATTGAGTTTCATGCAGTAGCCCGCTGAAGGTGGGGCATGTGTGACAAGAAATGGGGCTGATAGACTTGTGGACTGAGTCGCAAATTGTGACGTGATCTGTGCGCAATCATCCTACAATCCATCACAACATTGTCTACACACCAGAAGTTCACTAACTGAACGCCCTGGCGGTCCCGTTGGGTGCACTTGCGAGTGCCACCCGTGCCATGAATGCATGTTACTTGGAAGCTTGCCTTTCCCCCACGTAGCTCTGCTATGCTTCCACGCATTCCAAGACACAGACGCCGCTCCGACTTTCGTCCGTACCGTTCGTGCATATACCTCGCGGGGCCTACCTCGTTAACTATTTTGCCCCACCATGATTCTCTGAACAATGTAGATAGGCGCACTGAGTACTGTTTACCATAGTTGTTTGAAACGAATTAAGTTGGAACTCTAACAAGCCGTATCACTCTAGACAATAATAGGAAGCGCGTTAAGTTCCTCATCACCGTCAGAAACATCGACGCTCGGCGAGCATCCGTTCGGCCAATTTACCACAAGAGCCAGCAGAACTCTTTTTCTCTCGTTCTTGCTTCCCGCTGCTAGGATTGAGCCGTAAAATCCCCGCCGCCAGTCGCGCGTTCTGGAAAGAAGTACTGGCAGGAGCTAGTTGCAAGAGAGGTCGTAGAACGGGCAGAAAGAATAGTCGGCAGAGTTAACAGAGGTAGTAAGAGTAGTCAGGGAGATGGAGGTTGACAGGTTAAACCACGATAGTCGAGACGACGATACTCGAGATATTCGAGACGCGAAACGCGGCGTTCGGGAAGGTAGACTGCGCGTGCGGAGATTGATCGCCGAGCGCGTCGCAGCGCTGCGCGAGTTGGCTGTGGACGTGGTTCGGAGCCGCTGGCACTACCTCTTAATCGACTTCCTCTTAGTGGCGCTGGTGGCCGTGCAGTTGTGGCGCCACGTGTCGCAAGGTGATTGGAGCAGCCGACCGCCCGTCGCGGATTTCGAGGAGATGAAACTTGAGAGCAGCGCGGATGGGCTCCCGAGGTGCGTAGATTCGCGCGTACGTACGGCTGTGCGTATGATCGTACGGACACAGGCACGAACGAAGACACGAAATGGATGCATGCGTACGACAAGAGTGGTTAGGAATGGACAAGAGTGGCTAAGTGTGGTTAAGAGTGGCTGAATTGTGCGTTTGGCAACTGCATCAGGAGCGTTCTAAAGCCCCCTCGCACGTCTTTCTTTTTTTTCGTTTTGATCTCTACTATACACTCATCCTCGCTTACCCTCAGGCACTAATCCACCGAATTTAATCCCGCCGCAAACCTCCTTGACCCCCATCTCTGTCGCTACTTGCCTCTCCCGACACTTCCCGCTTGTGCGCAGTATTCTTCCCCTGACTCCACGGTATTTTTCAAATCCCTCCATCCGTACCTACTACCCTCCCTTTCCCCCCGTCCTCCCATTCCCTCCCCCCCCCCCCCCCCCCCCCCCCCATCCCTCTTCCTTCCCCTTCCCATTCCTACTGTCTTTTCATCCTCCCCTGTGTGCAGTTTCTTCGCCTGGCCACCCGCCTCTGATACGCAAGCCTCCCCTCCCTCTCCTTCCTCGCTAAGAGCGGACTCGGTTCACGCAAATTTCCGCCCGTCAAAGTCACACTCGTCGCAGTCACACCAGATCTCGCCAGACGTTGTCTCGTTAGTATCGACCCCGGGATTGCAACAACTGCGGGGAAAGCCCGCGCAACAGACGCAGCCGTTAATTCTGACTCCGTCTGAGACGCGCAAATCTGAGCCGTCGGATGATTCGTCAAATCCGGCGGCTAGCAGCGGCATATCTGAGAACGCAACTGCTGGTGTGCTGGATGCTGACGTGGCAGTTAAGCTGTACAGTGCTGCGGCAGGTTATGACACGGCATCTAGTGATGATGACGTGGGACCATCAATCTCATGGATTCCCCGGACTCCGGATCTACCACTCTGCTGGACGTCCACGCCAGCAGAGCCAACGTCCCCGTTACAAGCAGCACCAGAACCCGCTATAACGCGTGGCGGACTGTTTGTATACGGCAGCAGCTGTTCCGCCTGCACTGTAGGCCACACCTGCACGTTCTTAATCAGCGTCGAATCGCCAGGCGCCACGTGGACGCTCCCTCCCGTTGCTGACGCGACCAGTAATGATAGCAGCAGCACCAACACCTCTCCTTCCACTGCTGCAGTTACAACCACTGCTCTTGCTGCTCCTCCTGCCACCACAACCACTGCCACCACCGCCACCACCGACACAGCATCACCATTCAATTACCCCGCCAATTCCTCCGTGCTGAGTTGGTGGAAGCGTGAGCTCGCTCTCTCCCTCGCCGGCCCTTCACTGCTCCACGCCGACCCTGTTTGTGCCGACCCTCCCGCCTGCTCCCGATTCGTCGTCGCTTACCGAGCCTGGGATGCGGGGACGTACCGGTGAGTGATTGATTAGCTGATTCGGGAAGTGGTTGAAATGTGGATTTGATATCGATTGATACGTTGTTCTGATGGCGACTAAAAAGTACTTTTCATACTGACTGATAAGTTGTTTCGTTGGTGCTCGACAAGTTATGACAGTGGATACGTCAATCCCCTCTCACCTCCCTTCTCAAGCCTCATACCCCTTTCTTCTTCTGTGCATTTTTAAAAGTGATCTTTTGAGACGTCTCAAAATATCACTTTTATCATGTAACCCCTTCTCACCTCCCTTCTCAAGCCTCATAACCCTTTCTTCTTCCGTGCGTTTTTTCTCATAGCATCATCGTCTATGTTCTTCTCTCTTCACTCTCATTCATTTCTCACCTCTCGTGTCTTCATTGCAGGGCTTCCCTCCATGCAGGATGCTCCAACCTCCTCCTTACACCCTCATCTTCCTCACCTTCCTCTGCTTCCTCATCTTCCTCATCTTCCTCTTCTTCCTCCTCCTCCTACTCCTCCCCTTCTTATGCTGACGTCACTCATGACGTGGCAGCATGGACCATCACAATCCTCCCATCATCCCACACACTCCCGCCCAGCACACCCCTCCTAGCCAACACACAGCCTACCTCTTCAAGTGAAGCAGCTGCCAATAACCAGCCATTTCATAACGAAGCAGACAATAGCGAGGATTTCTTGCGCCGGCTGCTGCTCCTGGCGACGGCAGGGCAGTCGAGTGTGGGAGGCGAGGCAGCAAGTGTGGAGGAGCGAGTGGGGAACTCCACACTCGAATATCAAACCCTTGGAGGGGAATTAGTCCCTCCTGGGACACCTTTTGAGGCGCTTCCAGACGCTGCTCCTGGCGACAGCAGGGCAGGCAGCGGAAAGGAGAAAGTAGGAAACTCTGTACTAGCTTCCCATGCACCTCAAGCAGACTTGGCCACTCATGGGCTGCCACGTGTTCTAAAAGAGAGAGCACAGGAATCCGAGAAGAGAGCAGAGAACGAGGGAGAGGATGAGACGATGCAGGTGACTAGCAGAGGCGGTGAACAGGAACAGGCGGCGGAGGGGAGCAGTAGTCCGTGCAGCGGGTCAGTTATGGGGAGATGGCTTGAGATTAATCCTGAGAGCGATGCTAACAGTGCCAGTGCCAATGCCAGTGGCAGTGGCAGGGGCGTCGGCAGCAGGGGCAGCAAGAGCAGCAAGAGAAAAGACACATGGAAGTGGGTACCTTTCCCCTGTGCCCCTCCAGAGACCCCAGTGAGTGAGTGGATCTCCTCCCTCACCCGGCGAGGCATCCGAGAGATCTCGATCGCGGGGGACTCGCACCACCGCATGCTTGCCGCCCACTTGTTCTACATGCTGTCGGGCGAGGCCGACCTGGCGAATAGGAAGGGGCGGCACGATCTGGCGTTTGTGGCGCGGAACGGGAGGAACGAGACGCTAAGGATTAATTTCTACTGGGTGGACGGGATCTACCGCAACGACGAGTTCGGCTGCACGTGAGTGCCCCTCCCGTTACCCGCTCCTTGCTTTGCTCTTCGGCTCTCTGCTCTTCTGCTCTCTGCTCTTCGGCTCTCTGCTCTTCGGCTCTCTGCTCTTCTGCTCTCTGCTCTTCGGCTCTCTGCTCTTCGGCTCTCTGCTCTTCTGCTCTCTGCTCTTCGGCTCTCTGCTCTTCTGCTCTCTGCTCTTCGGCTCTCTGCTCTTCTGCTCTCTGCTCTTCTGCTCGTTCTGGTTCGATTTCTCCTGGGTGGATGGATGGCATCTACCGCAACCACGAATTCGGCTGCACGTACGTGAGTGCCCCTTGCACCTGCCGCTGTTCCTTCCCTTACCCCTTCTCTGCTCCTTCTGCATCATCTTCTACTGGGTGGATGGCACTTTTGAGGCCCCTCAAAAGTGGACGGGATCTACCGCAACGACAAGTTCGGCTGCACGTGGGTGCCCCTTGTGCCCACGCCCCTCTTCCCTTCACTCTCCCAGCTCTAACACTCCTTCCTCTCTCCCATCGTTCCATTCCCATCCCGTCTCATCCCCATCCCCTCCCACCGCCCTCCCCCCTGCCCTCCGAATCCATCCCTCCCCCACTGTGGTCCTAACAGGCATCGAGGGGCCTTCTCGCAGCTCTGTGACCCCTTTCCCAACGTCTAGGACCTTTGACTTGTCTTTTGGAAACAGCATAACCACCTCATGACCTTTATCCCTCTCCTCATCCCCCTTCCGCACTCCAGGCACAGAGGGGCCTTTTCGCAGCACTACGACTCCTTCCCCAACATCTAGTACCTTTAAGCTCTCTCATAACTTTCCCATGATTTCCTTTATCTCCTTACCCATTCCCAACCCCATCCCCATACCCATAACAGGCACAGAGGGGCCTTTTCGCAGCACTACGACTCCTTCCCCAACATCTCCCTCTCAAGTGACGTCATCATCATCAACAGTGGCTATTGGGCCGGCAAGCGTTGTCTGCATCCGCTCTCCGCCCTCAGCACCCACCTCCCTGAATACCTCGCCTGGGCCCAATCCCAAGCCGCCTCCGCCGCTGCTTCTGCCGCCCAAGCCTCCTCCGCTGCTGTTGCTGCTGCTGCCACTGCCACCAACCTAGGTGATCCTTCTCCTGCTGGTTCAGACCCGAGCAGTTCTGATTTTGCCATTCAATCGACAGCAGCAGCAGCAGCAGCAGCAGCAGCAGCCTCCCTGACAACAGGTGCATTCTCATCCCCCCTCTCTCCAGCACCAAGCGGGGCCAGCCTTAGGGGGAATTCAGCAGCTGCTCTCAGCAGGCAGTCTGCAGCAACAGGTGGTGCTGAAAGGGCAGAACGCCTGTTACGCAGTAACATCACAAGCACCACCACCACCACCAGCGCCGCCGTTGCCGCCGTCGCCGCCGCCACAAGGGCAGCAGCCACAGGGGTAGAAGCCACAAGCACGAGTCGCCGGGTTCGGTTGATCGTGCGAGCGGCACCGCCAGTGCCCAACGGAGGAGACAGCTGCAGCATTGCCAGCCGCATTTATGAAGGCCCCGCCACCAACCTCTTTCTCTCTGCTGCTAACCACCTGACCAGAAACCTGGTCGACCAGATAAACGCAGGCAGTTCTGTCCCCCATATTGAGTATTTTGATAGCTGGCAAGTGGAGGCACCGCGGTTTATGGATGCGTGTCCTCGCGATCATCACTTTCACTGCTACGGGTCGAACGGGCAGGGGAAGGTGGTGATGAGAGGGGACGTTGGGGAAGCTGTTGTCAGGTCTTTGATTCATTACATAGAGCATGGGGGAAAGGGAGGGTACTGAAGGTTTAAAAGATTGATCATTCATGCCATACCGTAATTGGTTGCATATATTTAAAAACAAATGCGGACTTGGTAATAAAATGCGTGTGGAAATCATTTGTATGAATAGGTCATGAAACGATTTGTATTCAAGCATGTCATATCACACTGATGCATTTACCACTTGAATATATGTGCATTGTCTTGAAGCACTGTTCTTTATTACTATTCACCATGCTAGTGTTTGATATGGTGGGCACATCACAAGCTTGGTGCTGAGTACATCCTGCTTCAAACGTAAAATGGAATCTCACGAATGCGCGTATACGTCCTCTGACGAATCGCGGTTTGTGTGTTCCTTGCGATTAATCGTGCAATGAAAACTCAGTGTCCGACTTAGGGCGTGATACAGAGGAAGCGCTGTTCAAGACTTGATTTTGGGTTACCCTGTTTATTACGGCAGGTTGTACCTAGGCTGGTCAAGAAGTTTGCGCGTCTTGTCCAGCTTTTGTAACATGTTCCAAAATGTTTATTTTGACCAGATTTTTTTCACAACCTTGTATGAACCCCGTTCAAACAGACTTGAACGCATTGTTCGTCATTTCTATCTTGAACAGCTCTTGAATGGCTGTGTACCGCGCCCTTAGAGATGGATCCGTGGGTTTCGGTTTGGTCGGTTCCTCCCCCAATTCCCCCTCCATTTGCGACTCGGATGGGGTAAGTCTGGCTGGTTGGTTTGGATTTTCCACCCATCAATCGTGGATGGAGAATTCCCCTCCCTCCCAACGGCTAGTGCTGGAGTTGGCGAAGGTTGTGTTACCACACGATAGGTTTTCGCGAGGAGGCTATTATATACCCTTCACCAGACCAAAACTGACAGGAGAAACGCTGGAACCTGGTCATGGATACTATTCTGCGGTGTCCTATGGAGTACTGTAGTAGTAACTCACTGAACTAGGGACTCCACGGTTGTAGTGTACTCTATGGTTGGATCTTATTCAGAAGGCGAGCGATCTACTACTTCCTAACGCGGGATGTAGCAAGAGGCAAGCGAGCTAGGTCGTCGAATGCTCGTCCAACGATACATTCTCGACGTGCACACGCATTTCGAACCGCGGACACGCTTGTCAGAAGCCGTGACAAGCAAGAGAAACTGGAAACAATAAGCGATTAGGTCATCCTTTTGGGAGGAGGCCGCCGAGTCGTACAACTTACCCTCGTGACTACTAGATACCACAGTTGTCGTACTCGGTTCTCGGTCTCGGTTCCCGGTCTCGGTCTCGGTCTCGGTTCCCCATCCGCTACTAGTGCTAGTTCTAATATCTTCTTAGTCGGACCACCGCCTTTTCAGGTACAAGTGAGGTATATCCCGTAGGCCGCAATCCGTCTGACAGGCCCAGCTCGCCATTATGGCGTTTAAATTACGACCCGATTAGACCACTTGATCTCCCAGCCGTACTCGTTTCATGAATAACCCAGCTACTTGAAAATATACGCGGTAACGTCTGACTCGACCTTGTATGACTCAGAGTGCCTCTAGAAAGCTATGTCGGCCCTAAAAACCCTCGGGGAGTAACGTGAGGCTGTGCTGCTGCTCCTGCGTGCTCGTGCCACCCGTCGAATTATTCCAGCCATTAAATCTAATTTTACTAATCCCACTGTTAGTAGAACGTACAAGATGTGGTTTTTTAGACGGATTAGAGGCCAGTTTCAGCCGAGCCAGCAGCAGAGCAAGCCGCGGCTCGACCAACCGTTAAGTTTCCCCACCGTCTCGGACGCTGGATCCGCTAGCAAAACCAGAAGACCAGCCGTTGGATTAACACCGGCGACTGGCGGCTCGGGACCGGGACTGGCGGCGGGTTCGGGATTATGGAAGTCTATGCCGGAGGGTATACGCAAGTATTACGTGGTTCTGCTAAACCTAATTCTGCTCTTCTTAATCGCCTGGCAAGCGTCGCCTTACGCCACGAGAAGTTACGATTACCGCGGCGTGACCGGCGGCGCTGGTGGAAAGGGAATGATGACGCTAGGGAAGGACGTGCCTGTACGGAGGTAAGTGAAACAGCTTGTAACGGGAACGGCGGCAACTGTAGGCCGTCCGACAAAACTAACCTATCTTTTTTTTGACTGGCGTGTGCAATTGGAACTTTGAGGGACGAATTGTGGGATATCAACGAAATCCATTACTATGCTTCATCCCAAAATAGGACAAGTTGTCCTGTTCATAGCTCCGGTCCCTAAATCTTCACTCATTCACCTCCTCCTTGAACTACCCCGTGTTCCTAAAGTTCCACAGTTCAAATGAACGTTGAAGGTCCAACCCAACCCATATCCATCCATGCAACCCCAACCGAGCCACCCCTTCCTCCCCCCCCCTCTCCTTCCTCCGACCACCACCAAACCCCGTACCACCCCCCAACTCCCTTCCCCCCTCCCCTTCTTCCCCCAACTCCTCAACTTCTTCCCGAATTCGACTTGCAGTTCCGCCGCCACCGACGCCAAGGAGGTGTCGCTGGATTCGACTCAGAAGTCATATCCTTCCCCCCCCCTTCCTCTCCTCCCCCAATTCCCCGTTCCCTTTCCGAATCCGACTCGCAGTTCCGCCGTCACCGACGCCAAGGAAGCGTCGCTGGATTCGACTCAGAAGTCATATCCTCCCCCCCCCCTTCCTCTCCTCCCCCAATTCCCCGTTCCCTTTCCGAATCCGGCTCGCAGTTCCGCCGCCACCGACGCCAAGGAAGCGTCGCTGGATTCGTCCGAGTGGTCGCTCTCGGACAAGCTCGTCGCAGGGCGACCAGCAGCCGTCGCAGGCGACGCAACGGGGTCGCAGGCGCGGGGCAGCGGCGCGGCGAGCGACAGCCACGGACGCGGACAGGGAGTATCCGGCGAGGCGGGGCTGCACCGAGAGGGGGCCGCGGCGGATGGGGGAAAAGGTTCCGCCAAGGCGAAAGAAAGGCGCGAGCACGTTTGTTACACTTCCTCGGGTGAGCCACAGGATTCTGGGGTTTGGGCTTCGGGGTATGGCACTGAGAGTGGGAAGCGGCGGATGGAGGAAAAAGTTCCGCCAAGGCGAATGAGTGGCTCGAACATGGTCGATATTTTACCTTGGGTGAACCACAGGTTTCTGTGGTTTGGGTTCCTGGGTTTGGTTCAGAGGCCTGTAGGGCACGTCCATTGGACCTTCTCTCTCGGGTGATTGAATATACTAGCCGTTGCTGGTGATAGGGTTGTGGAGATGTGTCACAGAATTCTGGGGTTTGGGCTCCCGGGTTTGGTTCAGAGGCCTGTAGAGCACGTCCGTTGGACCTTCTCACTTTGGTGATTGACCCCACTAGCCGTTGCTGGTGATAGAACTGTGGAGGTGTCACAGACTTTCAGGCTTCGGGAATCCGTGTGATTACACAGGTGAAGAAAGAGGTAGTCTAGTTTTGAGGCGCCTCCAAACTAGACTCATGGGATTGCACAGGTGGAGGGGGTAGTCGTCGCCCTCCTCCTGCCTCCGCTTCTAGTTTCCTTCCGCCCTTCTTGGTTCCTCTCGTCCTTTTACTACCCTCCCCTTCCCCCTTCTCTCTCCCCATCAGCCCCATGGAAGGGTCACACCCTGGTTCCGCGCAACCACCTTTCCCGCAGGGGTGGTGGTGGGCGGAAGGGGGTGTGCGCGGGTAGGTGTGCATGGCGTCATGTTCCGCATCTCCTCCCCCCGAATGCTCCCCTTTCTCCTTCCGCCCTTCCTCGGTCTTCTCTTCCCCTTTCTCTCCTTTCCCCCTTCTCTCTCTCCCCATCAGCCCCATGGAAGGGCTACCATCTGGTTCCGCGCAACCACCTTTCCCTGGGGGGGGTGGTGGGCGGAAAGGGGTGTGCGCGCTGTGTGGGAGAGCGTGAGTGTGTGGCCCACGATCTCCTTCCCCACTTCTACCCATTGTTCCCTTCTTTCGTCCAATGTCCAACGTTCTCCCCCCCGATGCTCCCCTTTCTCCTCTCCTTCCGCCCTTACCCTCCCCTTCCCCCTTCTCTCTCTCCCCATCAGCCCCATGGAAGGGCTACCATCTGGTTCCGCGCAACCACCTTCCCCCGGGGGTGGTGGTGGGTGGGAGGGGGTGTGCGCGCTGTGTGCGCGGAAGGGAGTGCGGCATGCGCGTTTGGATCAACGCCCCGGCCACTTGGGTGCAGGTGGGTTTGGGATGGGTGCAGGTGGGTTTGGGATGGGTGCTGCTGGGTTTGGGATGGGTGGTGGTGGAAAAAGGACGGATGCAGGTGGGACTGGGGTGGATGCAGGTGGGAATGGGGTGGGTGCAGGTGGGAATGGGGTGGGTGCAGGTGGGTACCACATGGGTGCAGGTGGGTATCGAATGGGTGGAGGTGGGTACTTCACATTCTCTCATCCACTCAAGTCTCCCCCAACGCGACCTGGCAGAAGAAGGCCATGGCGCTCCTCCCCACAGGTCCCTCACGCACCCTCTCCCCTCAGATCTACCCCAACGCGACCTGGCAGAAGAAGGCCATGGCGCTCCTCCCCACAGGTCCCTCACGCACCCTCTCCCCTCAGATCTACCCCAACGCGACCTGGCAGAAGAAGGACATGACGCACATTCTCAAGGACTCAGCTCTCCCTCCCATGACAATCTGCTTTCCACTCTCCTCCCCTCATCTCCCCTCAGATCTACCCCAACGCGAGCTGGTGGAAGAAGGACATGACGCTTATCCTCAAGGGCCCTGCTCTCTCCCATGGGGACGTGCGCTGCCTCGACCCCCCTGCCTGCTCGCAACTCGACCTCACCTACCGCCTCTGGGACGTGGGACAGTACAAGTGCGTGCCAAGGGGTGGGAAGGGGTGGGAATTGGTGGGAATGGGTTAGAATGGGTTTGGAATGGTTGAGTCATCACTGGTGCAGGCAGCTACGGGGCAGAGCAGCGGGTGTGGTTCCTACTTGACCCCTCGCCTGCTCCCAGCTCGCCCTCTCCTACCGCCTCTGGGACGTGAGGCAGTACAGGTACATTCCAAGGGGTGGGCATGGGTGTGCATGGGTGGGCATGGGTTGGAACATGTGTACGCACAGTCATCCCTGCTGCAGGCAGTCAGCCATGGGGCACAGCAGAGGGCGGCATGGTTTAACCTGATACTCCTGCCTGCTCCCAGCTCGCCCTCACCTACCGCCTCTGGGACGTGGGGCAGTAGAGGCGCGTCAAGCTGTCCTTTGATGTCCTCCCTGGCTTCCACTCGGCAGTGCGTTTCCTCTCTTCCCAGGCCATTCCTGGGCGTAGGCTGCGCCAACCTGCAGTTCGCCCCCAACTACAAGCAGCACCTGAGCCTCATCCCGTTCCTCCCTTTTCCACTTCGCCCCATGCGTTCTCTCACTCTTCCCAGGGCATTCCCGAGGGTAGGCTGCGCCAATCTGCGGTTCGGCCCCAACTACAAGCAGCGCCTGAGCCTCATCTACAGCCTCTCTGTTCCGTTCCCCCCACGTGTTCGTCTCCTCTCTCCCCTACCAGGGCATTCCTGAGCGTAGGCTGCGCCAACCTGCGGTTTTCCCCCAACTACAAGCAGCATCTGAGCCAGACGCACCTCCATGTACTCACATCATGGAACGTCACAATTGTGCCGCAAAAGAGAGACGCCGCCTGGGTTAACGGCTCTCTTGCTCTCCCTCCCACCTCCGCTGCTCCTTTTGCCTCTTCTGCTACTGACACTGCAACCTCTGCTACCACCACTGCCACTGCAACTGTGACTGCAGTGGCTGCTGTTGTGAATGTTGCTGCTACAGCCAACGTTCCTCCTGCAGCTGCTGCTGCTGCTGCGGCCACCGGCACGGGGGAAGCTCTAAACTCTGGTGCTAGCAGCTATAACACTAACGGGAACAATCAAAGCGTCCCTGCCTCTGCTGTAACTAGCGAGATAAGTGAACACACAATCAGTAGCAGTAGCAGCAGCAGCAGTGTTCGCCGCTTCTTGAGTGGCAGGTGGCAGGAGGAGGAGGCTAGTGAGGAGAGCGAGGCGAGCAGAGGGAGAGGAACGGAAGGGAGGGGTGCGGAGGAGAGGAGGCTGCTGGAAGAGGGGGCGACGGATGAGGAGGAGGAAGAAGAGGAGGAGGAGGAGAAGCTGCCAATGACGCCGTGCCAGGTGTCAGGCATCAAGGGGCGATGGGTGCTGTCCAAGGCTGGCGGATACGAGTGAGTGGGGAGGCATGTGAGGGGCTGGGGAAAGGCATGGGCTAGGCTTTAGGGACGTACAGGTGAGATATGGGAGAGGCTTGGGAAAGGAAGGAGGATGAGGAAAAGCTGCCAGGTGTCTGGCATCAAGGGGCGATGGGTGCTGTCCAAGGCTGGTGGATACGAGTGAGTGGGGAGGCGTGTGAGAGGCTTGGGAGAGGCATGGGAGAGGCATGGGAGCAGCATGGGAGTCGCATGGGAGCAGCATGGGAGTCGCATGGGAGCAGCATGGGAGTGGCATGGGAAAGGCATGGGAGCAGCATGGGAGTCGCATGGGAGCAGCATGGGAGCAGCATGGGAGTCGCATGGGAGCAGCATGGGAGTGGCATGGGAGTGGCATGGGAGCAGCATGGGAGTGGCATGGGAGCAGCATGGGAGTGGCATGGGAAAGGCATTCAAAAGGCATGAGGTTCTGGTTCTCCCAGTCACTCATCTGGTTGGGCGGCACAGCTTGGTTCATTCGAGTACTCGGATCGGCATGAATGAGTTTTTTTAGAATTCTCAAAAAGAGGTTTTCAAGTAACGCATTCTCCCAGTCGTTCATCTGGTTGGGCGGCACAGCTTGGTTTATTAGAGCATTCGGATAAGGTTGAGGCTCCCATTCTTCCCTTCCATTGCCAGAGGAGCCACGACTACCGTTGTGTGCGACCAGCTAGGTGGGCAGGGTTGCCTGCTGTCAAGGCCGCTACAGCTGTCTCGGCCTCTGCAGCTGTCGCAGCCGCTACAGCCATGTCAGCCAGCTGCCTCAGCCGCTACAGCCATGTCAGCCAGCTGCCTCAGCCGCTACAGCCATATCAGCCGCTACAGCTGCCTCAGTCGCTACAGCCATGTCAGCTGCTACAGCTGTCTCAGCCGCTACAGCCATGTCAGCTGCTACAGCTGTCTCAGCCGCTACAGCCATGTCAGCTGCTACAGCTGTCTCAGCCGCTATAGCCGTGTCAGCCACTACAGCCGTGTCAGCCACTACAGCTGTGTCAGCCGATCTCCCTCAGCTGCAAAAAAAAAAAAAAAAAAAAAAAAAAAAAGTCACCCACTCCTTCTGCCTCCCCCCTCCCCTTCAGCTTCCCCATGTGCACACAAGGAGCCGAAGCATCCATCAGGGTGTGTGTAGCAGCTTTTGCAACCGAACCGTCAGGATGGGTGGCGCAACTGGTGCAAAAGTGCATTCTACCAAAACGCCACCCCCTCCTCTATCCCCCCCCCCGGCAGGTGGCACTTCTACCCCGTGTGCACCCAAGGAGCCGAAACGACCTTCAGGGTGGGTGGCACAGCTGGTGCGGAAAGGCTTTCTAACAAAACATTAACCCCCCATCCCTCCTCCCCTGTCCCTTTCTCCCCCCCCGGCAGGTGGCGCTTCTACCCGTGTGCACCCAGTGAGCCGAAACGACCGGCAGGATGGGTGGCACAGCTGGTGCGGAAGGGCATTCAGGAGATCAACATCGTGGGGGACTCGCACCAGCGCGTTCTGTCCTTTCACCTGAGATATCTCCTGTCAGGTGCAGTTCTCGCCTGCTCTATTTTCACCCGAGTTGCCACCTGTCAGGTGCCTTTCTCTGTTGCTTTCCTTCCACCTGAGATACCACCTGAGTTACCACCTGGTGCGGAAGGGCATTCAGGAGATCAACATCGTGGGGGACTCGCACCAGCGCGTTCTGTCCTTTCACCTGAGATATCTCCTGTCAGGTGCAGTGCAGTTCTCGCCTGCTCTAGTTTCACCCGAGTTGCCACCTGTCAGGTGCCTTTCTCTGTTGCTTTCCTTCCACCTGAGATACCACCTGTCAGGTGTTTTCTCTCCGCTACTGTCAGGTATTTTTACCTGAGATATCTCCTGGCGCACTGCTGTGTTGAGGTATTTTTGTGCCCCTCCCCTCCCCTCCCCCTCCCCTCCCCCTCCCCCTCCCCCTCCCCTCGCTCCCCTTCCCCTCCTCTCCCCGCTCATTCTGTCTCTCTCCACCAGGCGTTGCAGTCGAGCGTACTGTGCGGTCACACTAAGACATAACTTCACTCCCACATATGAATGCAAGCAGGGAGAAACCTTTTTTCCACCCCCGCCCCAACCCCCACTCCCTCCACCACGCGTTGCAGACGAGCGCATGGTGCAGTCGCCCGAGGACATGAACTTCACAGTCACTGATGAGCGCTCACAGGGAGAAGCTGCATTTCCCCCTCCCCCTCCCCTTCCAGCCCACCCCCCCCCCCCAACAGGCTTTGCGGACGAGCGCATGGTGCGGTCGCACGAGGACATGAACTTCACTCTCGTCGGTGACATACACTAGCCTCATTCCCCTGTACCCTTTCTTCCTCTCGGCTCACTCACCCCACCCTCTCCCCCACTCCTCAAGCAGGCTTCGCGGACGAGCGCATGGTGCGGTCGCACGAGGACATGAACTTCACAGTCACGGATGAGCGCTCGAGCCAGGTTCTGCGAATCAACTTCTACTGGGTGGACGGCATCTACAGGAACCGCGAATACGGCTGCTCGTGAGTGCTCCGTCTTTGCTTCCCCTTGTCCCCTCGCCTCGTTCCCCCTCTCATCCTGTCTTCCAACCTCACACAAGCTGCGAGTCAACTTCTACTGGGTGGACGGCATCTACAGGAACCGCGAATACGGCTGCTCGTGAGTGCTCCGACTCCTCCTCCCACCCACCACAACTCCCCTTACCACTCCTCCACTCCTCCTCATGTACTGCGAATCAACTTCTGCTGGGTGGAAGGGATCTACAGGAACCTCGAATACGGCTGCTCGTGAGTGCTCTTTCTGTTGCTCCTCCCGTCCCGCTCTCACAATTCTTCCATTGCCTCAAAGCTGCGAGTCAACTTCTACTGGGTGGACGGCATCTACAGGAACCGCGAATATGGCTACTCATGAGTGCCTTTGCTGCTCCCCAATCTTCCCACTCCTCCTTTCATCAACCTCACACAAGCTGCAAATCAACTTACACTGGGTGGATGGCACTTACAGGAATCGTGAATACAGTTTCCTGTGGGTGCGCCCTCTTCTATCACCACCCTTCCCACTCCTCCAGTCATCAACCTCACACAAGTTGTGAGTCGTCTCAAGGCTGGGAGTCAAGGGTGGGCGGTTTTAACAGGAATCGTGAGTAGGAAGCTGTGTGCCTCCTTCTCACCCCCCTTCCCTCCCTCACTTTCCCCCTTTGTTTCATGCAAACGAGTAGTCCACACAAATGCATGTGCATATGCCCCAGTCCTTGTGAACGGGCAGCAACCCCAGTTGACTCTTCAAGATTCATGGAAGAACAAAACACACACACACACACACACACACACACACACACACACGCACACGCACACACACACACGCACGCACACATGCACACACACACACACACGCACACACGCACACACACACACACGCACACACGCACACACACACACACACGCACACACACACACACACACACGCACACACACACACACACACAATTCTGGCGACTTGTTTTTTAATAGGCCGGTCTGCATGCCTCACTGGTAGACGGAAAAAACATTCATAGCTTTGTATTTCAACACAGATCCTTCCCCCTTCCTGAGTGCAGGTTGAGAGGGCAGTACACGCACAAATACCACACCTTCCCCAACATCTCCACAACAGCCAACGTGACAATCATAGAGGGCGGCTACTGGGCCGGCAAGTGGGATGTGATGTGCTGAGAACCCGTTCAAGACCCCATGCCCAATCCCACAACCCCCAACCCTGAGTGCAGGTTGAGAGGGCAGTACACGCACAACTACCACACCTTCCCCAACATCTTCACAACAGCCAACGTGACAGTCATAGAGGGCGGCTACTGGGCCGGCAAGTGGGATGTGATGTGCTGAGAACCCGTTCAAGACCCCATTCCCAATCCCACAACCCCCAACCCTGAGTGCAGGTTGAGAGGCCAGTACACGCACAACTACCACACCTTCCCCAACATCTCCACAACAGCCAACGTGACAGTCATAGAGGGTGGCTACTGGGCCGGCAAGTGGGATGTGATGTGCTGAGAACCCGTTCAAGACCCCATGCCCAATCCCACAACCCCCAACCCTGAGTGCAGGTTGAGAGGCCAGTACACGCACAACTACCACACCTTCCCCAACATCTCCACCACAGCCAACGTCACAGTCATAGAGGGCGGCTACTGGGCCGGCAAGTGGTGTGCCGAGCCGCTGCAAGCCCTCCGCGCCCGCCTCCCCGAGTTCTTCATCTGGGCGCTCCTCGCCGCCCGGTCCAACCGCGCCCGCGTTGTCTTCCGAACGCCGCCGCCCGTCCCGAACGCCGGCTCGCATTGCTTGGATTATGCGATCAAGAGGGGTTTTGCGGGGCCCGCGACAAACCTGTACCTGGCTGCGGCCAATCGGCATGCACGCCAGCTGGCGGCATCGGTGACGAGAGGCGCTGAGATGGCGGTGTTTGATTCGTGGGCCGTGGAGGCGCCGCGGTACGGCGACACCTGTCCCGGGGATCATCATTACTCGTGCTTTTTGGGCGGGCAGAAGCGGACGAAGCCGGTTGTGAGGGGGGCGGTGGGAGATGCAGTGGCGAGGACTTTCCTGCACTTTTTGCTGCACTCGCTGCGTATGGAGGATAGCAGCACAGCAGAAGAGCAAAATAATACCTGACAAACTAAACAATATACCGTACCATGAATAGACAGAGAAGGGGTGGTTGTGGTGTGGTGAGGGTGGATGATAGATGGCTTAGGTTAGGAGTGTGGTCGTAATATATATTTTGTACCTGCTCAACAGTGAATTTCATAACACCTGCATGCATGGGGGACGTGGCATATCGTATGTTGGTGTAACCTTTATTCAAACACCGTACATGTTCAGGCATGCAATTGGTCTTGCATTGACGTTGGGTCTAAAAGAGCTATGGCAAAGCAAGTCTTGGCTCTGATGTAACCTTGCAGCGATGCCTTGCCTTTCGGTCTGCTTCAGGCACCCAGTAGCACGGTGTTGAGATAACAACTTAGGAGATTAGGAGCTTGGAGGGAGAGTAGCATAGTGAGATGGTTATCGAGGGAGTTTAGGTTGGCCAAAAGAGGGGTTTGAATAAGGGAGGGCATACAAAGATAGAGGCAAGGAGAAGACAAAGGGTACACCACCAGCAATAGGTTATAATTAATAACTAATACACTAACAACAAGCTGTAGGCAGTTAAGATATGCAATGTAATTCAACACACCCCCGTAACTGCCAACGGCTATAGTTAGTGGTGTCTGGCACCAGGTCGCCTGAAGAGCGGTTGCTTCCTGGCAGCACCTGTGAACGCCATAACGGAGGAGGGCGCGGAGGGCGCGGAGGAGGGCTGGGATAACCAGAGGGCGTAGGATGCTGGTGATTAACACCAACCGTTGGATAGGAGGAAGCTGGTGGCGCACAGGCGGAGAGTCGAGGAGAAGCGGCTGGAGGAGCAAACAAGCGGAGGAGGAGGCGTCTGGAGGAGAGGAGAGAGGAGAGGAGAGGAGTAGAGGAAGTGCAGCGGAAGGAGGAGGAGAAGGGGGAGGCGGCTGCCTGCACATACCCGCCACCCCTGTTAAGAACCTAAGGCAAGAATGAGTGGATTAGGTGAAGGCTAGGGTACAAGACTAGGGTATTGAGAAAGTTTGTGTACCCCCTAGAGCTAACCCCCATACAGCCTAGATGACCTAAACAAGCATATATATAATTTGACACACCCCCATAGGCGAAATGGGGGATAGCCAGAGCAAGCAATGGTCACAAGACCAGTCAAGAGAAGAAACAAAACATAGCTCAGGGTGGATCACAACGTCACCACGCAGTCTGAGCACAAGCAAAAGACCACAAGGCCAGTTCACATGCAGAGATATATACATAGATCACAGTACAAACAAAGCCTACAGCAAGTGAGGAAGTGTGGGCACTAGGCCTAACAAGGTGTAGAAACGCTGATGATCACCAGGCGGAAGCGCCTTGGTGAATATTTCAGCAGTGTTGGCCCGACTGGCCACGTAAGCAAGACGAAGCTGGCCACGCTGCTGCAGCTCTCGAGCAAGGAAGTAACGCAGAGCGATGTGCTTCGTTCTGTGCTCCAGTCTGTGCTCCTGACACAAGGCAATGGTGGCCTTGTTGTCGACGTACAGAACTGGAGGAGAACGAGGCCGCTCTCCCAAGTCGGTCAGCAGGTAGGTGAGCCAGCGTAGCTCCTGTGCAGCCATGGCTGTGGCGTAGATCTCGGCCTCACAGCTGGAGCCGAGAACTGAAGACGAACGTGTAGAACGCCAGGAAACTGAACCAGAACCAAGGCTGAAGGTGTAACCCTGTGACGACCGCTGCGTAGCCTGGTCGTCAACCCAAGAGGCGTCCGAGTGACCAGTGAGGACAACGTCACCCCGTCCTCCAAGCACGAGCCCCATGCCCGATGTACTGCACAAGTAGCGTAGTACCCTCTTAGCAGCATCCATGTGCACCTTTCGGTGCCGACCAGGAGCAACGTAACGAGCCTTGAAGACAGGTGGAGAACCTGGCAGCCGCTTCACCCTGAAAATCCACATGCCACTGACAATGTTCGCCCCAGGAGGGGGAACCTCGTCGACGTAGGTGCCTGTGGACTTCCAGGATGCCATCTCTGCGTCCATGGCTGTCTGCCACTGAGAGGTGTTAGAATTTATATGTAACTGCCTGTAGCTGTAGTTTAGTGTAGTTATTATAAACTGTTGGTGGTGCACCTTCTTTGCATGCTCTGTTTACTATATGTACCCTAGTGCTATAGTGAACATCACTTTTCCCATTCTCGACTCTCACCTTGGCACAACCTCCTCGACTTCCCCTAGGCCTAGGCTACTAAGCCTAGGCCCTACCTAAAACCTAAGCTTACTCTTACTTAGTAACTCAACAAGAGGAGTAGGGACCCTCGATCGCCTCAGCGTACGATCGTGGAGTCGGGATGTCTGGTGCATCCGGGTCTCCCTCAGGGGCAAGCAGCATGGACACGAGATGAGGCGCAGCGGCTGCAATACACTCAAGGTCCTCCTGCCTGTCCTCAAGGACGTCCGTGCCAAGAGCACACTCACCCCCGACGGACGGAGGACAGACAGTCTCAGACTCAGCAACAAGACTAGCAGCGTAGTCTAGACGACAGTGAGCAGCAAAGTCGACAAGCTGGTGGCAGTGGTGGTCAGGGCCAGCAGCAGACGCAGCAGCAGCAGCAGCAGCAGCGTCAGCGCCAGACCCCCACTTCCCAGTAGCTTCTAGACTGGTATGCCGGGCGTGGGGCTTCTGGGGGTCCTGGTCGCTGCCCCTATATCATCCGCACAGGTCCCCGCGCTAATCGCCAGTGCACAGGGTTTCACACTGAGCAGCGCTGCTTCGCTCGACTTAGCGACGCCTGGCGCGCCAAGTTTCCTGATGCTACTGAGTTCCCCAACTGGGCAGACTTGCTTAGGCGTGATGTACCAATCTTTGATCTTGACTATGAGGCTATTGTAGCTGCTATGTATGCATTGTCTGTTAGTGCAAAGGGTGACTGCTACTTGTGTGTGCCGCCGGATTCTGGTATAGCCCCTGGTATAGCCCCTGCAGCACTAGGTGCTCGTGAGTCTGCTCCCCTTGGTACTGCGCCTGCACAGGCCTTGCACACCTTTACACTTGACTCTGGTGCTTCCCGCTGTTTCTTTCGCGACAGTACCACAGTCACTCCCCTTCCTGCACCTGTTCCTGTCTCACTGGCTGACCCCTCTGGGGGCCCAGTGCTTGCACGGTCTTCCAATGTGCTTCCGTGTCCGGCGGTCCCGTCTGGTGAGCTGTCTGGTCTCCACCTCCCCTTGTTCTCTACGAACTTGGTGAGCAATGCTGTCCTCCAGGATGCGGGTGTTGACACCTTCACCCCTGGCCGACAGCGTGTGGCGATCTGCACGTGCTCCCAGACCGGCCGCCACCTGGCCACGTTCACCCGTGCGCTAGGGTCCAGTCTGTACACCCTCACCACTGAGTCCCGCTTCACCCCTTTGTCTCCTTAGCCGCACGCGTCTGCTCAGGTAGCTACCCAGTGTGAGTGTCGCCGGCTGTCTCACGACACCCTCCTGTGGCACCACCGCCTGGGACACCCCTCCCTGCCTCGCCTTCGTAGCATGCACTCTCGCTTTCTGGTTTCTGGTCTTCCCAGGTCTCTGCCTGCCCTCCCTCCCTCGCCTGTGCCGCCCTGCATTCCTTGCGTCGAGGGGCGGCAGCGCGCCGCTCCTCACTCCTCCTCGTTCCCTCCCACAGAGGCTCCACTGCAGACTCTCCACCTGGACGTGTGGGGCCCAGCCCGCGTCCGTGGACAGGGCCACGAGCGGTACTTCCTGCTGGTTGTCGACGACTACACGCGCTACACCACGGTCTTCCCCTTGCAGCGCAAGGGGGATGACCCTGAAGTTTTTGATCCCCTGGATCCACGCTACTCGTCTCCAGCTCTGCGAGCGGTTCCAGTCGGACTTTCCTGTCCTGCGTCTGCACTCTGACAGAGGTGGTGAGTTCTCCTCAGACCTCTTGGCCGCCTTCTGTGTGGAGCACGGCATCCGCCAGACTTTCACGCTTCCGGCCTCTCCGCAGCAGAATGGGGTTGCTGAGCGCCGCATTGGCTTAGTCATGGAGGTCGCTCGTACCTCCATGATCCATGTGGCTGCCCCCCATTTTCTGTGGCCGTTTGCGGTCCGGTACGCCGCGCATCAGCTCAACCTTTGGCCCCGTGTCTCCTTGCCGGAGACCTCGCCCACACTGCTGTGGACGGGGAAGGTTGGCGACGCGTCGCGTTTCTGGGTCTGGGGTGGTCGTGCCTTTGTTCGCGATACCACCGCGGACAAGCTCTCCCCTCGCGCCATTCCTTGTGTCTTCCTTGGCTTCGTCCCTGACGCGCCTGGCTGGCAGTTTTACGACCCCGCCTCGCGCCGTGTCTTTGCGTCCCAGGACGTCACCTTTGACGAGTCAGTCCCCTTTTACCGCCTCTTCCCCTACCGCATTGCTCCTCGCCCTCTCCCGCCGCTCTTTCTTGCCCCAGGTCCTCCCCAGGTAGACCCCCTCCCCGCACCAGGTCCTGCTCCTTCGGGTGTTTCTCAGGTAGACCCTCCCGTCCCTGCGCCTGTTGAGGTCACTGGTGACTCCGGTCCTGCTGGTGGTGGTGCTGTCCCTAGGGGTGCGGAGCTTGGGGGTTTGCAGCGTGGGGGTGCTGATTCTGGGGGCGCTGGGCGTGAGGGACCTGAGGGTACGGAGCCTGGGGGTGCTAAGCCTGCGCGTGAGGAGCCTGGAGGTCCTGCGTCTGGGGGTGCTGCGTCTTGGGGTGCTGAGTCTGGGGGTGCTGAGCCTGCGTGTGCGGAGCCTGGGGGTGCTGAGTCTGGCGGTGAGTCGCCTGAGGGTCCTGAGACTGCTGTTACGCGGTCTCCTTGGAGTAGCCGTCTTCGTCCGCGTGTGCCTCTCACCTCCCAGCAGCTGCACGACTGGTACGGTCACCGTCAGCGTCGCGCTTCTGCACCTCAAGGCTCTACTGCTGGGGGTTCTTCTGTTGGCGTCACTGGAGCTGGGAGTGGTGCTGGTCCTTTGCCTGCTGGAGGTGTTAGTGTCGCTGGTCCCGGAGGTGCTCGTACTGGGAGTGCTGGAGCTGCTGGGGCTGACGGTGGCGTGTC